ATTTTAGATGGATCCTTTCTATAAATGGTAAGGGGTATTACACATAGGGTGGATACTTTAGTCAGTGCTGTACGGTAATTATATTAATTTAATAGGTGTGTCGCGTGGTTAACATGCAATAATCACGATAGTCAACCAATAATAATTCAGGGTGTTTAGTTTGGGTCCAATTCAAAAAACATGCAGCGATGATTATTGCTATTTAATGATCTTTTTTCCGTACGTATTCTAAATTTTATTTACCGGATAAACAATCTATTGAGATGCTATGCAGATTATCATTAATAGTCGGAGCTGAGTTATAGGATGCACAAAAAATTATAAAGAATAAAATCATCCAAAATTTGAAATGCCATTAAAATATGAATACGTATTTGTTTAAAGCATACTAAACCTGTTTTGTCAATTTTATTACCTTGTTTGACACTTTATCGTTATCTGATGCTAATTGTCAATTATTACGGAGTACTCCTAACAATAACGATAATAAAACAAACCACACCCACTCAGTTCTATATTAACATACAAAAAAATATCAAAAAATCACAAATCTAACTATAATATTCATTGAAAATATAATTACATTTCATATGAAAAAAAACAAATAAAAAACAATGAAATTTTGCAATGTTAAGAAATTAACAATTAATTATTCGCCATCACCATTGTAATCATCTAAGGAGACTTCGAGATGATTTTCCCCGTGATCATCTTGTGACAGAGGACTATATTGATATCCAGAACGTGAAGTTGGTATTGGAATCCCTGAAAAGATTCGTGAAATAAATGTTGGTACTTTGATCGACGAAACGAGGTCCATAACAGTTGATGATATGCTTGAAAGCAATGATAATATAAAGCTTAAAGGGTCTCTAATACGAACACGCCTAATAATTTTAAAACAAAAGGTTATTAGAAATTGTTATTAAGCTAGATTTATAAGATAAGTACTAACCCTATTGTTGAATATCCAGAATAACGGCTGCGTCTATTGTACACGACATATGCTACAAACATTCCTACAATCATACAAAACAAAAAGACAAATAAAACCACAAACAGAGCAGAAGATGCACGAGGACAAAGTTGTTCTAAATTTTTTGAAAGATCTTCACCACCCGAACAATTGGAGATAGGAATCTTACGGTAGCTATTGAAAAATATAAGGACTTAATATCGATTGCACATAACAATGAAACTAAATTGAAAATGAAATAACCTACCCAGATGGTTTGTACCAATATATTCCCCCATTAGCACATTGCTCCATCATGCTGGATTCTAAAAACTTGTCATTGGGCGGTAGTACACATGATTCTTTACTATCACGGAAGTAATTGTAGTCACTGAAATAAACGAACTCGAATTAATTTAATTGGTTAAGAACAAATGGATAGTCATTGTACACGAATAGAAAATTCTGTTATACTGCTGCCTAAATATAGTCTATCTGGATGAACCAGGATAGAGATTTTCTCAACGGTTACATCTTGCAGATGAAATTGCTTATCATTTTCTTACCATTCAAAATCTTGATTAGTGCAAGAACACGTTGTAGATACATTAGGAGCCATGATCTCATCATCAATATAACACGTACGATCAAAAATTTTACGATGATATTTGATCTTGAAACAATTAAAGAATGTCATAAATCTATTTGCGATTTTAAATTTATTATTATTTTTTTTTTTAACGTACCTCTTCGCCGAAGAAACATTTTACTCCTTCAGAATGAGATGGTGCCCATTCTTCAAAATCGGATATGGTGCCTAACACATATTTAAACAAAATTAGTATTTTAAATACAGCACAAAAATTTATGACACAACATGACAAAATGTAAATGCAAACATTTGTTGGGCAGCTTGGGAGAAAGATCAAGATAAACTATAACTTCTTTATCCCTATCGCCTTCGTAACTCCCATGTAAAAGGAATTTATTACTGATACCACTAGGGTAAGTTGCAATAGCATGAACTCGAACACGCTCCGTCGGTTGTGTGAAATTATGTTCTTGCCATGTTTTACCCGCGTTAAGCGAATACCTAATTGTCAAACATGATTTGAGATTTTGCTAAGATACATACGTATAATAACAATCCCAAAATTACTGAATGTACAACTTACAGGAACCTATTTGTAGGTCCCTCATCGTCTACCATGATCAAAATGGCCCCTTGGTCACCGAATTCATATAAGTGTGCTCCTTTCCTTACTTCAACCCATGTTTTACCAGCATCTCGAGTTAAGAAAGTATCACCGTCCGAGTAGGAGGTTAGATGATCTCCAACATTTCCTACACCCATCATCAAACCCACAGCAGAGAGAGAACTAAAAGCATCGTGAGGTTTTGGACGTTCAGTATAGCCATGAAGATGCAAAGAACAACCATCCTAAATATAACAATATATATGAATATTTAATGACAAATCATCATAATCAGAGTTGGCATTTTGGTGCTCTATTGGCCTACTCCAGTACGTTGTCCATTGCTACATTGAAAAATATTTAATATTGGCCTTGTTAATTGATTATAGATATATATTCAGCATTTTAACCTAATGTATTATTTTTTATATGCAAGAAAAGAAATGTTCCATTGCTCCATTATGTGCAAAAATGCTCCATTATGTGTAAAAATGCTCCATTTGCCAACCCTAATCATAATACTGAAAGTATAAAATAGTATATACATTACATTACAATTATACGGCGTACCATTCGAATCAGATTCAGGTTTTGTTAATGGTTTCCAAGTACTACCTATATAATACAAAAAGGATTTAGCAGGTATGCGAAATTATAACTATATAGAGTTCACTTGTTGTTTACCATCATTAAATGTAATTTTAGTTTTCAATTTTTTCTTGGTACCACCCATATTTAACTCATCTACATTGTCGACTATATTTGCTAAAGCAATTCCCTTAATTCCTTTCATTTTTTCAAAATCAACAAAGCCTAGTTCATTACGATTCGCGAACTCCAAAGATTGAACAAAATCGGTTCCGTTAGAATTGGATTTTAAAATATTCCCCCATTGGTTTTGAGGTGACGGGGTAACTTGTGGTGATGTGGTAACATGTAATATAATAGAAGAGGTGACAGACTTTAAAATAGTGAAGGCCTAAAATATACAGAAAGTATAAATAAATAATAACAATAATAATATAGTCACTTTAAAATACTCAAAGCATACATTTTTTGTTACTTGCATGTTAACCGGGAACTTCGCTTCTGCGAAACTCGTGCCATTCAAGGATACCAATAGGCGAAGACCTTGACCAGATTGCAAGACCTACAAATTAATAAATTGGAAAATTAGTAATTTAAAAAAAAAATAAGGTGTAAATAGTTATTCGAATAGACAGACATCTTAAATTTAATGAAGAAATACGCACCTCAGCGACTACCATGTATTGTTCAAAAGTAGTGAATCCAACAATATCATCAGACACTGTAGTTTTACTGTTACCAAAGTCATGAGATGACCATAATTGAAGTGGATTGTTGATAAACGATTTTTGTGATCCTCTTTTATTTTTATATGATTGACAAAAGATAAATTTTTTATCATCAACAACAAAATTGGTATCGAGTGCCCACGAGCAAATTCTAACATAATCATCAAGTTGCTTCCAATTTCCACCATTGTCTTGTGTAGAATATGCCTTAAATATAGATTAAAAATGCGTTCTTAAAAGATTTGATTAAAGAGAACAGTAAATATAAAAATACCATGCCATTCGAATACATACCACAGCTTTACATTCAATTGAAAATATATCATCACATTTTACGCTAGCAGTATATATAAGCCATTCCTTTTCCGTAGGATGGAATTTTAGAATTGGTAACTCAAGAACATTAGGTAGCTCAGGAACTTTCATCGGGGATATATTCTTGCCGGCATTAGTAGTATAATATTGGGTGTCAGACAGTGTAATAAAGTATATCTATAAACAAGTAAAATTTTAATTAGTAAGATTATATTATTAAATTGGGTTTTTTTTAGAATTAAAAAAGTTCAAAACATCTACATGTTCTTTAAAATATTGATTTTGGATCATAGCAAGAACTTTAACGCCTTTAAGTTCTTTAATAAGCTCCCATGAATAACCTTCGTCATCACTTTTCCAAACTTGCTCATTCGAACGAATAAGAATTGTTTTGGTGTTATCAATGTAAAAGAAGTCCGTTATGAGAGTGTCAAACTTTTGCTATAATTTGAAATAAAATTAAATTTATTAGTTTGATAGAATTTTAATTAACAATTTATTTTTATTGTCATAATAAAAAAAAAAAGCACCGTTCTAATGATTATTTCACCTAAAAAGAGAATTAAATTAAAATGAAATACTTTGAATTTTTGAATAGTGTTAAAATACGTACCCTCTTCATCGCTGATCCTTAAAATATCTTTTTCAAGGTCCTCACCACCTTTACATTGTGACTTTGGAGTCTTATATGTGCCAGAACGCACAGCAGGGCGATTAGGCTCATGTCCAAATGATTTGCATTCGCCGTCTTCTCCACGAGTATCACTAGATAACACCATATTACATGTGTGAATTAATCTGAGTATGAGTCAAGTTTGATTTTATTGGCCAATTGTCAAGAGTTCTGATTGGCTAAAATTAAAGATTAACAGAGATTCTACTTGAACATCCACATTTTGATTGGACATATACATAGTTATATAAAAAAATTTTGTCGATTTTTGTCAAGTGACTACGTAATGAAATATTTTTATTAGGATAAGAATCAATACGTATTATATTTTTCGGATCAAGGACATTTTATACATATGGGTAAGTATTTTTGAACTCGGACCAATTTTATATATGACGTAATAACATTTTGGTCTGGATTCAAAAATAATTACCCATATTCGCGAAGTCATACGTATATAGTTCGTTATATCGAATTATATATGTGTACCCGGGCTGATAAAAATGTAGAGATGGGCAAGGTAATTTACTTATTACGTAAAAGTTAAATCACACTACGTATGCGACAATTTTAGCGGAGGACTTACATTTTCAGGTATAGTGGTATCGGTATCACATAATTGGGCACATATTAGAGATCTTAGCAAAATTTTGTCCGTCTGTCATCGCTCCGGATTTACAACAGCTTCTGTTTCCCTAGTACACGTCACTCTCGATATAATGTAGTACCTCGGGCATATAGTAAGCATATCATGTTGTATTTATTATGGTGTGGATCTGAATCTTGATCCACTATATCAAGATTTTACTTAGTCTCCGTTATACGTATCAAGAGTCCGTTATATCGAGAGATATCAAGAATCAATTTATGCAATATGTAGATCACTATGTAGTACGTACACAGTTTAACCTCTAAATTTTGTGGAAGCACGCGCCTTGAGGTCATAACTTTTAAATAGCCAACTTTTATTTTTTTTTTAAAAAATTTCTTAAAAATTTTTTAAAAGCCCGCCCAGTTATTGAAAATTTTTTAAGTTTCCAAAATTTGATCCGGCCAAGTTATGAAAATCAATTAATTAATTTTGCATGACATTAGTATATAATAGAATATTTAAACGTCGTATACGAATATTCAAACCATAAATGTTACCTGAAATAAATCATCCTGTATACGTAGTACATACCGTTTAGCACTGCATACATACAATACAGTCCGGTATTTTACCCAATTTGGAAATCAGATCTAGAATATTCCAAATCACGTCTTGAAATCTAATTGGTAGACGATCATCCTTATCGACGCAAAGCCGTGAACTTCGTGACGTCAAAAAAAAAATTTGCCCAATTTTTTAAAAAAACTAATTGTCAAAATACATTTTTCAAAACCCGTAGTTTAAGAATCCACAAGGATCCACGAAAGTTTATAGTGTAGTTTTTTTTTTATTCTTGCTTAAAATACATATAT